TCACTTGAACATAGAATACACCTCATGTCTCTCTCCAGCATCATTTAGCGCTGCAACTTCAATTCTCAAAAGAGTTATTATAGGTAATTTTGTATTTCTGTTTAATTTAAAGGATTTGTAAAACAAGTATGATTGTTACTTCTATGTTCATCATAAGCTTCTTCAACATAAAATATATCCAAATTACCTTTTTATATTAGATGATAAAGTTTTATAGAAATTTTTGTAGTAGTTGGAGGATTTCATTGGATATGCATGATGATTTGTACTTATTTTATTGCACATATGTTTATGTGTTATCATGATATGAATACCTAAAAATTCATTTTCTACTTTTTATGAAGATTTCTTATATCATTTTTTTTATTATTTGGGGTAGTTCTCATAAGTTTTTATTCTTGTCTCTTTTGTATGATGTGTTAAATATAAACCACACAAGTTTTTTTGGGCAACTTCTTTATATCCATATTATCAGGGATTGAACCTCTATATATACTGAGGAATTCCTTGATTTCTACTTGTTAATTGATTTATGGAAAGGTAAAAGGAAGAGCTTTGTTAGTCCTGATACTAAATCTTAGATGTTATTTGATTAAATATATAAGAATTGTGTGGTATCTGAGTAAATTTTGTTTTAATGCATGAGTTATTAAACTTGGAATGATTATCTTACAAATAACACAACAATACAAAGGAAAAATATTTTTTTTCATAAACAACTATAACATAGAAGTTGCACGACTGTACAATAAAAGCAGACTGCATCAGCTTCCTCACACAACTGTTGGGTAACAAATTTTTCAAACAGTTGCAACTTCCCCAAACACACCCTAAGACCCTAAAATATATATAGGTTATATTTTCTATTTAGGTCAATAAATCTAAGCTATTTAACTTATGGTCCACAAAGATAAAAATAATCAAACTTAGTCAACATAGTCTAATGTTTACCCAAGCATGGTCCTTAACCTATTGATGACCCAATTAAAATTATAAACCATCAAAGACCCATAAGATCTTAAACAATTTGAGCTTAGTCAACTTAAGCCCTAAGTGTCCCATTTTGGAAGCATGATTCATAAGGCGACCTACTATGCACATGGGACCATTAGAGGCCTTTTTCACTTTTTTAAAATAATCCAAACTACCAAAATAATTATAATATAGTCAAAATAATAATGATTTAGCACTACATCAATGATAGAGCCTGGGTGAGCCAAACCAATTGGAATAATAAAACTAATTGACATATTTAGGTCTAAATAGTCCAATTAGGCTAATTTAACACTTAAATTCACTTAGAGTTGATCCCTAACTACCATAGATGCTAGTACTGGGGCCTGATTTGGTCACAAGTACATGCAGCTCAGGTGAACCCAACATTGAAAGATTTTAGTTTATTTGGATCAATTAGGTTCCATTACACTCAAATTAACCTATAATAGTTATTACTTGATGTGTTAAACCCTAAAAACGTAAATGGATTCAATCTAATGTGGCCAGGACACGTTGAACTCAAGTTTTAGTCCAAATGGACCGTACCTGAGTTGATTTTTTTTTACTATGATCAACAATTTAAAGATGAGTTAATTGATCATGTCTACTTTACCTAAACTCATCCGAGCCCCTTTATGTTATCTTGAACCTCTATAGAGCAAAATATTTCTGACATGAGCAAGCCATTGCATGGATTAAAGTATTTAATATAATATACTCTAAGCAACTGTGGTTTATCCTCTAATCCGCCTTAAGCTCAAGCCAACAATTCCAATCTAATCATTTCACATTCTCTGTACACTTTAAGATAATCTAGCAAGAAAACAATTGTTAAAAAAGAAATTAAGAGAATGCTTTGCTCTCCAATATCATCCATATAAGTACTTAGATTTAGGAATTAGGAGCTCTTTTTCACTCTCTTACTTATCCTCTCTTTTAGAGCTTTTAAGTAAAAGAATAATGAAATCTCATGAATCCATGGATGGATTCGGCTAAGACAACAAATTGAAAAGAGGAAAACTAGAAACTTCTCAACATGCATTTTTCAATTTAAGATAAAGGTTCTACAAAAGTCAACTAATAAGACAATAACTCTTTTGAAAAAAATCAAGGGTCAAGGTGGAGAAATATGGATATCTCTAGTTTAATTTTTGTGGTAATTTATGTAATCTTCCTTTAGATGGATCTATAATTCTAATTTTTTTTATTGATTAATCAAAATCCAAGTCAAGGGCTAACACACATTTATTTTATATCATTTGCTTTCAAAGAGAATGATCTTTTTGACTATTATTTAAATTGCTTTTTACTGTATGTTTTGCCTTACCCAATTAATGAGCAACACATGCAAAATGCATCTTAGTCGACATTATTGGCTAAATAATTTATTTTATACTTCCAAAAAATTAGATATCCTTAAAATCTTTTTTTTTAAAATTTTTTGTTCAACAAAAAAGAAATACTTTGTTATAATTGCTTCAAGCATATATATATACATAAACTATGACAAGTCTTCACATTATTAGTCTTTAAAATTGACAAAAGTGATTGCATTAATCCTTTTGGCGCATTACTTCTCATAATCTGCAAGATATAGGAATTAAGATTTTTAGGTGGGTGATCACTTTAGTTACCCTCCATGCATGCACAATTTTATGAACAGTTATTCACATTATCATGCATTTCTCTGTTAGACAAAGGTTTAAAGACTTTATGGCAGGCTTGTGCACATTACAATGGACTATATTTATGAATTTGAGCTTTTTATTACCAATAAGTACGAAATTTATATAAGTTATAAAAGAATTTAAGTAAACTTTTAGTTCATTAATGACTTAAATTCAAACCCACATCACTGTTGCATTTATGTTTTAATAATTTTATTTCTGCATATGACATTTCATTTTAAAATCGAAGGAAGGTTTTTTGGAGTTTATCTCATATCATATTTTATAGTGAAAGCTATAATTATTTTTTTAAAAAATAATGCATACAATATAAATGGATCACTAAACCAAAATAACCCTACACTAGCAACTTCGAAAAATTGCTTCTAAAGGAAGTTATTATTATTATTATTATTATTATTATTATTATTTATTTTTAGTTAGAATCATAAGATGTTATTTGTGATATGAAAATGTAGGCTCATTATAGTGAAATTATGCTTTGAGTATTTTTTTCAGCATTCTAATTTTAAAGTGTTTATAAAGATTTGCTACATTTATCTTTGGTACACTCTTGCTAAGTCATTAAAATGTTAGAAAAGAAAGATTTCAATAATCAAATGACATATGCTTTGAATGATTCTTTTGTTATATTGAAATACAATTTATTCTAAAAGCTAGTGGAAGCAAACCAATTTGACATGATTTTGAATTTTAAAATTTTATGTATATTTTAACAAGCATGTATTTATTACAATTATCAAGATGTTGTCTTAATATATTGTTGTTATTTTTAAGAAATAAGTGAGGAATTTCTTCATCTCATCAACTTAATCATTATTGATATAATATATCAAGGGAGATTTTTTCTTGCACATTGAGATGCATTAATTAGCAACACACTTTGATGTGTCCTATAATGACAGTAAAGGGTACTGCATAACTGCAATATAACTCAAAATATTAATATGAACATTCTTTTGACATTGTAATATGAATATCCTCCAAATCTTTTAATGAAGTAATATGACTCCCTTTTGTTAATATTATTGAAACTTTTTTAAGCTAAATTGTCCATGCTTTACTCCTATTCTCCATTAATGGAGTTTAGCTAAAAGAAGTTGAAGTCGCTATACTTAAATAATTGATCAATAATGGCAAAATGTTCTCATAAATGATGCTCTACAATTGCATTTAAGAAAAAAATGAAATAACAAACAATTGTAAGAGATGGTTTATTTCCCTGAAATCTTGTAATTTTGTGAACAACTTATATATTTATATTATACTTTATAGTAATCACATGTAGATTCAATTGTAAGATCATATATATATTAAATTATAGGTTTTCTTAGAAAAAAAGATAAATACCCGCTCAAATAAGTTTTCAATTTTTTGTTATTAAAAACAGATAAATCAAAACAATATCAAATATATTTTCTAGAAACATAAAATATAAAACAAAATAAAAAATAAAACATGCTAAAAAAAGTAAAAACAAAAATATACAATGATCCTAGACAAGATCTAAACTACTAGAGTAAGAATCTCATCATGTCGTGTTTTCCATGGCGTGGTGCGAAAGTCCAAACGTCATATGTCATTGCAAGCTGGCTCTCCATTATGTCAATATCTTGGCGAGTTAGCTCTCCATCAAGAGGTAATACACCACCGATGGGAAGCCAACTGTTGGGAAGTCAGCCGCACCAGTTTCATCAATTGCTTCAACTGAATTCTCTCCTATACCGCAACTCCTTGGTCCGCAAAAGGTAAACCCTAGGAGCCTTTCCCTTCAAAAATGACCACCACTAAATTAACCGTCAGCCCATAAGCCGTAAGACTTGAGCACACCTGTGCACCCCATTGACATTGTTGGTCGCCATCTTTGTCGGGAAGTCTCCATCTCTAATACATTACTTTTTTTTCTTAACCATTGATGTGAGGGATGAGTTGATCGACGGAGAAGAGGGCAAGCACTACAACGGAGTGGTGATGGAGACTTTGAGGCATAAGTTAAAAGTTACAAAAGTACGAAGACCTCCATATAAAAATCACTTTAAGAAGTCATGCCTTTTCTCCAGCTAAATTGGGTCGTGCCAAGAAGGATTAAACTAATTTGTACGACAAGCCAATTACTTATCTGATAACGGGATCTCACCGTTACCTTATTCAAGAGAAACCGATCGGACGGTTAAGACGTCGCAGGGAAAAAATCTATCGTGATTTAAAGAGTAATTACCAACTGCGTGCCACGTGTCATCCGTATTACGGATGGGATGTGGGCCAGGCCTTTGTGGACTCCTGTCGGGCTCAGCCACCGCTGCGCACAAGTCTCACCGAGTTCATCCTCGATCCGAGCAGCGCCGTAGCTTTCCCGCTTTGTCTCCTTTCTGCAGCGCTCCGCCTCCGGAGTTGGTTCTATGAATTCTCTGTCGATCCGCCATCGGATATCCTCTTGCAGACTACATTCTGCGTGAGGCTTGTACGATCAGGGCTGGGGTCTTTGGAGTGAGTAATGGCCGCGAGTTCCGGAGGCTTGGCGCCGCAGCCATTATGCTTTAGAATCAGGAGGGCGGGCACTTTCCCTTCGCTGCAAGGCTCGCGAGCACTAGAGCTCGGCAGGAGGAGGGTTGAAGAAGGGATTCGATACTGTTGCTCGGACTCGGAGCTTCGCAAACTTGCTCGGGGTAAGAGTGCCGCGGATACGCTCGAGGAGTGGCGACGGATCGACGTGAAGAATAGCCCCAGGAAAATTCGTGCGAGAGCTATGCCGGTTATCCCCTTATCTTTTGCAAGGTTCGTCTTCTACTTCTTCTGCTCAGACACTCTCTCTCTCCTATGCGTTCTTTTGACTTCCTGGAAGATTAGATGGTTTTCTTTTGTGGATCGATTTGGTTGTGAATTTCGCTCCTTTAAATTATTGTCACAAATGTACGTATTAGTGGTTTTATGTTTATATGTGAAAGTAAGGTCTCCATCGCATGCCTTGTGAGTGATAGCAATTGGGGTTTTGATGTTTAAAAAAGGTCAATTTTTTCAGAGTAGAATTAGAGACATTTTGATGCAGGCATCCGGCCATCACCTTGCTGAGAGCTTTTTCAGAGCACCATGTTAAGTATCAATTGATAATCGTAGTTAAGTGGGTAAGCAAAGCATTTTTGTAAGACTCATGGTTCAGGCCTTGAGGTACAAATCGTTTTTGAAAATTGTTGGTTTGTTTTAATTCCTCACTGGACTAACCTATAAGAGCTTTTGATTCTCAATCACAATGTGGTTTAATTAAGAGATAATTCAAGGAACTGAAGTAAGATGAACGCATGGCATTTTCACCGAAAATGTTACATTTAAGTGAGATGATCGTGGAAACTTAATGCCTTCTGCTTGAAAGTTGAAATCAATGAGCAGTTGAGTCATCAGCCTGGAAAACTAGGACCAATCTTCAGTAAAATGTACCACTCATTCCAAATGTTTATTTAGAAATGCCTTATAAGGCATTTTATATTTCCTTGCTTTAATCATCTGGAATTGTTTTATTTTTCTGATCAAATGATCTTTCATGCACAAAGGATTTTGTTCAACTTTAAGATTGTGCTGACCAGTCAACTTTGTTATCTTACAAGGTTACTTTTAATAGTTTTTAGGCTTATGTTGCTGAAGTCATCTTTTATGTATTAAATTTTCTCTACGTTAAGTGCTAAACCACTTTTGTAAATTTCAAGTGCAGAAGTTATGGGGGCTTCCTTCCTTATAGTGAAATTGATTATTCTCTGTGGATTTTATTTTCTATGCATTCTTAGCTATGTCTTTTTTACTATATTTAGTTTGATTGGTTTCATATTTTCATTTTGGCGCATTTGACACGCTTTTTTATTATTTTTTTAGGTCTAAAGGGCTTTCTAAGCAGAACGATTTTTATCCTAGATGCAACAACACAAGGAACAATGCCCCTCAATCTCGTGACACTCCGCCTGAAAGAGGTTCGTTCGATTATTGAATAACGAGGCATTGGACCTTTATAATCTTTTGTTAGTTTAAAAGCTGAATTTAATACCTATGTTCTATGCTTTGTATGAGGGATTTATTTTTGAAAATTTTCATCTTTTGTAAACTGTGGCATGTGCAATTGAATGTGTTAACAGAGGAAAAAAATACAATAGTTGTGCTTACTCTAGTTTGATTGCTCATTCTTCATGTAATTTCTAAGTACGCATATTTTCTTCTTTGAAATCTTTCTTATAGACACTGGTATTGGTAGTGAAAAGGATTGGGGAATCAACTTGTTGGATGAGCATGTTAATGAATCTGGCGTTAATCAGGATGGCAGTACATGGTATCGAGAAAGCGGAGAGGAACGCGGAAATAATGGCTACAAGTGCCGATGGAACAAAATGGGCGGCCAGTCCCATGACGGTTCCTCAGAATGGAAAGAAAATGTATGATTGTACTTATACAATTCAAAACCAATAAGCAATTATCTTTTATCTTTTTATCATTTACAGAGTATTTTTTCTGCTGCATCAAGGAAGAACTTTGAATATGCAAAGTTTCGAATCTATACTATTTGTTCTTATATTTGTTTTCTGGCCTAAATACCTCCAATTCCACCTGTTTTATTAATCATAACTTGTTGATTTCTAATGCAGTCCAGTTTTTTCTTATTTTCCTGACCACTCTTCTTATTCATTATCTCTTTCATCATGCATTTGTAAACAATCTAGGAGCATATTTAATGCATCAAGGATGGAGATAAGTGGTAATGATTCAATTTGATTGGTCACTACAATTACACAATAAATTATGAGCCACGCATTAATTTTCTTTATTTAAATTCAAAAAAATGTGTTAACTAACTCTAGTTCTCAACCAAGAATACCTGGCGCGAGAATATTAAAGCCCTAAATATTTTTGTATGTTGGTTTGTGCTTATGTAGGGTAAATGTCCCCAACTTTTGACATAGTTTTATGTATTTACTTTAGGGGTGATATCTTTGAATTGGTACCTATTGCTCAAATAGGCTTCTAGGAACTTGTTTTAGTGCATCCATTTTTTCCTTTTAACTTATATTGTATTGTCAATGCCAAAACTCATATGTGGAATTGTCATCAAGAGCGAGAATGATGCAACGACAAAGCAAAACACACAACAATGCAATTAAAGACATATAAAGAGACAATAAGATTTATGTGATTCGACTCCTAACATGCCTGCATCCATGGTAAAGAAGAGATGATTCAATCCACTAGGCTCACAAAAGCCACAAAAATGGTGTAGACAGTTAAGGAGCATCTATAAGCCCGTTTCTGAAACCTAGGTACTCTTTGCTCAATCAAAAAGAAACCAAAAAAGTTTCAATTACAATATCTCTTCTCACCAATATATCAACATCCAAGGGAGTTAAATCAGAATCTTGACTTCACTTATCAATGTTGAACTCCTTGAATGGCTGTCTTTAGAGAACCAAAATAGGGTGATCATCATCTTGTTTTAGTTCTAGAAACCCTATCCAAAAAGTATATAATGGTTCTTCAGATCCTTTAAAAGTCTAGTTATGATGGTATTTCACGGGCGGTCTCCACAATTGGCTTACTAATCCTAGAAGAGAAATCCACATTATATATTTAAAGCTAAAAGATCTTGAAGAAGAAGGTGAGAGAACTGAAGAGCAGAGAAAAAGTCCGAAGAAAAGATAAGTTTTCGTTTATTATTTCGTCTTATCTAAGAATACAAATATACATGTATTTATAGGCACACTAATGGCATAATTGTAATTACAGGGAAAACAAAGAAGTGTATTAATAGGTTTTATACGAAGCAAGCCCTAGCCATCCTTCGACACAAATAATCGAGAAGGCTAGATTGCAAGGAGATAGAGGCAGAGAGTAATGATCCATCTCAATCACAGGTAATATCTCTATTATCCTCCCATAAGTTGATGATCTGAGGAGCAGATTGTCAACCTGTCTGTGAGAAGTTGATGACGAGTTGGAGAGAGGGGCTTGGTAAAAATATATGCTTTATGATTTGTTGTCATGATGTGTTGAAGCACTACATTTTGAATTTTGAGATGTTCTCTGATGAAATGGTAATCTACCTTTATATGTTTCGTTCTAACATGAAATACGAGGTTGTGAGCAAGTGCTTTCGCGGAAGTGTTGTCACAGTAAATTTGAGTAGTTGAAGGAAGCTTGCCTGTGAGTTCTTGTAAGAGTCTTCTGAGCCAAATTAATTCGGTGGTGATAGTTGCGAACGCCATGTATTCTGTTTCGGTAGAGGATTTTGCCACTATTGTATGTTTCTTAGCAGACTAAGAAATGAGATTTGAGCCAAGAAATATGCAATAGCCCATAGTTGATTTGCGATTGATGTTATCACAGACCCAATTAGCATCTGTATAAGCCTGTAACAATAAAGAGCTAGATTGTATGGGCAAACCATAGTTATTAGTAACTTTAAGATATCTTAGTAATCTTTTTAAATGTTGTTGATAAAGTGAGTTAGGGTTATGGATTTGTTAACTTAAAAAATTAACAGTGAAAGCTATGCTAGGATGAGTGATGGTTAAATATTGTAGATAACCAATAATACGTCGATGTTCATGTGGACCAGAAAGTGGAACGGGAGTTTGGTATGTTGATAGGGATGAATGGGTAGCAGTGTAATAGTAAAGTTGAAAGTGGACATGCCCCTAGTTTTAAGAAGTTCATTTATGTATTGTGTCTGATGCAAGAAATAGCCGCTTTATGTCTTATGCACCTGTAAGCTAAGAAATCGGGATATAGTACCTAATTGTTTGAGATTAAAACGATTGCCAATGCTGTCAATGAAATTTTTATATGTAATTTTTGAGTTTCCTGTAATAAGTATATCATCTAAATATACTAAAATATAGATTTTATTGTTATTAATGTACAAAAGTAAAGACGGATTAGCTGTACTCAATTTGAAGTGCATTGTGTGAAGAAATTGACAGAAGGTAGAATACCACTGTTGTGGTGCTTGCTTTAAATCATAAATGGCTTTGTGTAACTTACATACATGATGATCCGTCTTTAGATGAGAATCAATAAAGTCAGGAGGTTGTTTCATATAAACCGTATCTTCTAAAGTGCCATGAAGAAAAGCATTGGAAATATCTAGTTGTTAAATATCCCAATTTTCATGAGTTGCAAGTGCAATAAGCATTCAAATGGTTTGAAATTTAGCCATAGGACTCAATTTTTTGGTAAAATCAATTCCAGGTGTTTGGGAGCAACCTTGAGCTACTGAGCGAGCTTTGTAGAGTGCCATAGAACCGTTTGTGTGATATTTGGTTTTAAATATTCATTTAGAGCTTAGAACATGTTGATTGGGAGGTGGAGGTACAAGCTCCCATGTGCCTTGTTATTGCAAGGCCAAGAATTCCTTAGACATGGCCTTATGCCAGTGAGGATGATTTTGAGTTTGAGTAAAAGTTAAGGTGGTGTCGCTGTTAATTGTGTGATTGAGATTGAGAGAATTAGTGGGACGAAGGGAGCCTATTTGAGAGCGAGTAATCATAGGATGCTTGAGTGGAGGAGGTGGAGGTGATAGGGAGTTAATGGCTGGAGGGGAATTAATAACTTGAGAGGGAACTATATGTTTGGGAGTAGTAGAAGGTAAAGATGCGATAATGGTAGTGTTGGGTGAAGATATTGGTGAGGCAGAGGAATTGCTAGTAGAATTGGTGGGAGGAGATGATAAGTTTAAGACAGGGGTAAGGATTAGAGGAGGAATAAATGATGGTCTTTTAGTAGAAGTAAGAGTATCAGTAGAATGTTTATAAGGAAATTGATGTCCAATAAATTTAACATGCCTGGATACAATAAACTTTTTATTAAGAATATCATCGCATTTGTAGTCTTTATGATGTGTACTATAACCGAGAAAAACACATGTGGGAGCCTTAGGGCTAAATTTATGTCATGCAAGGGGTGGATGTCAAGAAAAACAAGCCATCCAAAGGTGTGAATGTGTTTATATTACGGGAGTTTATTGTGCAACAACTGATATGGAGACTTATTTTATGTATTGTGGGAAGGGAGACGATTAATTAAGTAATTAGCAGAAAGAAGAGCTTCAAGCCAAAATTTAGGTGAAAGATATGCTTTGTTGAGAAGAGTGCAAACCGTTTTAGTTAGGTGACGATGTTTTCGTTTAACACTGCCATTTTGTTTGGGAGTGTATGGGTAGCTAAAATGGTGAATTATACCATGCTCTCGAAGGTAAGAGTTAAGATAATTAGATTTATATTCGCCTCTATCGTTAGTGTGAAGATATTTAATATTTTTATGAAAATGATTTTGAATATATTTATGTAGTGTTATAAAGTGAGATGCTAATTCAGATTTGTATTTCATAGGAAAATAGTAGCAAAAATGAGAATAAGCGTCAATGAAAATAACATAATAGGTATATTCTTCAATTGAGGGATACGAAAAAGGACACCCATACATCAGAGTGTGGCATATCTAACAAATTATAAATGGTGTTACTAAATATAAAAGAGAGTTTATTGCTCTTATTTTGGAGACATTCGACACACTGTACGTTTGAGGAAGAAATCCTCAATTGCGGTTGTTGATGAGAAATGGGAGGCACTACTTTCTTATGTGGGTGACCAAAGCGATTATGCCAGATGTCATTTGAAATACTATGGTGTAGAGCAGAAACTTGATAGAGATCGTGTTTAGCTGTGTCGATCAATAGTGTTTTCTTGTTTTGACGGTCCTGAATGCAAACATTGTTAGTACTGAATATAATTGAGAGTTATTATCATTTGCAAGTTTATTTACTGAAATAAGTATATGTGAAAGATAGGGTGCACATGGAATGGGAGAGAGAACCAACTTACGCTCAGGGGCGGGCAAAATGCTATTACCAGTGTGTGAGATATCATTAATTTGACCATTGCCCACTGTAATTGTGTCGGTGCTTTGACAGGGAACTGGGTGGTGTAGTTTTTCATTATAAGGTGTAATATGTGCGGTGGCTCTAGTATCCAATATCCAGTCCTGTTTTGGACAGTGAGTATTGGTCTCTAGAGCCATTTGCTGAGGTGGGATGGTAGGTTTATATTGTAGATTGGCACGATGTCAACATGTTGCTGCTGTGTGCCCCTTATTTCTCAGATCTGACATGAAGGAGCTGGTTTATGTTTTGTTTGATTGCTGGTCTGATTCAATTTGGAAAAGTTGGAATTCTTGCTGTTGTATCTTGAAGCAGACCAATTGCCTTTGGTCTTTTGAGTGAACAAAGCTGTAGAGGTAGCAATTTTATTTGCTTCATTTGCAAGATTGAACTCTTCACTTTATAGTAATGAATATAGTATTTCAAGACTAATGGGGATTCGGTTGAGTATTTATAGCTGTCTTGAATCCTTGAAAGCTCTGCGGTAGACCATTTAAAATGTATAATATAATATCTTCATTGTCAATTTGAGAACCTGCTGCAGCTATATTATCTACCATAGTTTTAATTTGGGCAAAATATTGCGTCATGATGTTTGTACCCATTGAAATGTTGTGCAACTCGTTCTTGAGTTGAGTGACGCGGGTAGTTGGTGGATTGAAATCTTCTTTCTAAAGTGCTCCAAATTTTTGCCATGTTGTTGAGATGGCTGATGTACAATAGAATGACATGAGAGATTGTTGATATTAGGGCAGCAATAAAATTGCTATCTATTATTTACCGGAGACGAAAATTTTCTGACTCCTCTTGTAAATCATTGGAGGATTGATAAAATCTCGAGGAGATTGGGGCTTGGGGATCCAAAAATTTCTCAAAACCATTAGCATTGAATAGTTTTTGAATTTGCAATCTCCATACCTGATAATTTTCATAGGGCAATTGATGATTTGTCATGGTCTTGATGTGGGACATTAAGAACTTGAGAGAGGCTTGGATATTGATTTCTTTGATTCTTTCAAGTGATCCATATGATGAAGTTTGAGTTGTAGATGCTGAATCCATTGTAGAAGAGATGAATGGCACTTAGAATTATTTCAGCGAAAGATCGATGGGCTGTAAGCCTTATGGCTCTGATACCATAAAAGGTAAATGATCTTGAAGAAGAAGAAGAGGAGAGAATTGAAGAGCAGAGAAAAAGTCTGAAGGAAAGAAATATTTCGTCTTCTAAGAATACAAATATACATGTATTTATAGCCACGTTGATGGCATGCTTGTAACTACAGAGAAAACAAAGAAGCGCATAAATATCTTTTATACAAAGAAAGCCCTAGCTATCCTTTGACACAAATACTCTAGAAGGCGAGACCGCAATGAGATAGAGGCAGAGAGCAACGATCCATCTCAATCACAGGCAATATCTCTTTTAATATACACGCAACCTGAGGTTCCTCCAATAGGCTCTAGGAACCCAATTAAAAATTAGATCAGCAAATCAAGATCTTCCAAAGCCCTCTTATCATTCACTCGAGAAAAAGGAAGTTTTTGTTCTTGAACACTGATTAATGTGGCAAATACAGGTTTTTGGATACTGATATAGAATCTTGGTTATTTGATTTCCATTAGGATTATTTATTCGGTCCATTAAAATACATATATTTGAAGATATGCGTGAATAACCATTTATATGAGGTTATATTTAAAGATCTTCCTTGATCCTGTGCAATGAGCATTGCACCAAAATAGCAACACATTGAGTCAAGTATCAACGAGATCATGCCATTTATGGGTTGACATACCCTTCATAAATGCATTTAGTAATTAGTTGTGCGATCTGGCAAATTTCTGACATTAACTAACAAAATAGGGAACGGGTGGATCTGATGTGCTTGAATTGTGATGATTTTCATAAATGTATTTAGTAGTGCATATTGGTAAATTACTGAACGTCAAGCAACCATATGTTAATATTATGAACTGAATCAGTCCCTTGATAGAGAGTCCTTTTGGTATTTGAAACCAGTTTTTTTGCTTATCTTGAAGATAGAGAAGGTTTATTCCTTTTTTTTAATGATATATAGAACGGGCAAATCATTCTTTTTGTTTGTATTTATAATTTGTAAGGCATTTTATCTCCATGATAATCACATAAGACATACCGGATGAATGCTTTTACTAACCTTTTTTCTATTTGCTTGACAGTGGTGGGAGAAAAGTGATTGGACTGGATACAAAGAATTAGGTATGGAAAATAGCAATTATTTATTAATAAAAATATTGTTTTGAGAGCTTTGCATGCTTGAAAATTATTGCATTTTGTAAAAAAAATTACTTCTTATGTTGTATTGATTCCTGAGCACAACCTTTTGTAATGCTATTTTGTTCTCAGACTCTAACACCCTTTTGAGGAAAAGTTAAGTTGTGTTACTTATTCCGATTTATTATTTCGATTTCTGAAAATTAGGAAGCATTGTAAAGCTTCCCTGGCTGAAATTGTATAACGGTGGTCTCAGCGTGAATTTTTATATTAATCCAGAAAATCATGATTTAGTGTTCATATCTATGATCATTTTGTTTTATCTAAATTTCATTTATTGACAATATTTGGAGAATTTGTTGAGTATTTCATTTCAACATTTGTGGAGTATTTATACCATACTAGGAAATCTTTTAATAGAAAACATACAAAATCTAATAATTATAATAATTACAATAGTTCTCGTATAGATGAGTTGGTAGAATAATAATTATTGCATAAATAAAATAGTCTATGAATTGGAAGAGGAAGAAAAGAGTGTGAAAGTCTTGACGTGTTGTTGTTTTATAGCTTACTTAAAACGAATGAGGGGGTGTAATCCTTTTCAAGTGCACTTGATAATTTTTAGGGGGCTGCACTTGATAAAGCTTCAGTGGAAATGTTAGTAGGTTGTTCACCTGTGATCATAAATGGAGTACAGATTGGACCACTATCATGCTTTTCTTTAAAATGTTAATAAATTTTAATATGTTTTGCATGGTCATGTTACATGAGATTATATGCAATATTCATGACTGGCTTCTTATCGTAATAAAGCATCATAGGACTTATATAATTTTTAATCTTCATGAATAATTTTACCCATAGAAACTTGCAAATTTCTAGTGTCAAATGTCTAAAGTTGGTATTTGTGCTAAAATTATTTTAAATCTAAAAGTTTAGAGAATTGGAAAAAAATATAAGATGGTCGGTAGGGAGTCTAAGAGAAGTATTTATGATTCTATGAATTCTGGTTTTTATGATTTTTATAATAGATTAGAGACTAAAGAGGATGAAAGATATATGTATAAAGTAGTCAAACAAAGAGAAAAAAATAAAGATTTAATATAAGTAAAGTATATTAAAGATGAAAATCAAAAAGTATTTTTCTTAGATGTAAATATTAAACATAGGCGGGTGAGATATTTTGATAAAATTTGAAAATATGATTGACTTTAATGATCTTAATTTTGTTAATATTAATAAAGTTTTTTATTTTTACTGTCGGATTAGTAAAAAAAAAGTCGAGGAAGCTGTAAAGAAAATCAAGGGTAAAAATCAGTAAGATCTGATGGTATCCCAATAGAATTGTGGAAATATTTAGGAGATTTGGAAATTTCTTCGTTTACTAAATTTTTTCATATTATTTTAAAAACTAAAAAGATGCCTGATGAGTGGAGGAAGAGTATTTTGGTCCAATTTTTAACAATAAAGAGGATGTACAAGAATGCAAATTATAGAGAAAATAAGTTAACATGGCATACATTAAAGAATTATGGGAGAGTAATTGAACAAATGTTAAGACGTGATACAAAAATTTCTCATAATCGGTTTTGATTTATGTTTTGCAAGCCTAATATGGAAGCTATACATTTATTGAGAGGTTTGATGGAGAAGAATAGAAAGAGTAGGGAAGATCTACATATGATTTTTATTGATTTAGAAAAAGCTTATAATAGAGTTCCAAGAGTTCTTTAGAGAGTTCTAGAAAAGAAAGTTGTTGATATGAATTAGATTCAAGTCATTAAAGATGCGTATACTAGAGTTGTTACTTTTGTTCGAACTAGAGGATTAAATAATTATTTTCTCATTTCAATTGGATTACATCAGGGATCGATTTTATGCTCATACCTTTTGCTTTAGTTATGGATACTCTTGTTGAACCTTTACAAGAAGATGTACCTTGGTGTATGTTTTTTGCTGATGATATCCTTCTTGTGGATAAAACTAGAGAAAGTGATGCCAGAATTAACCGAACCCAAAATATCAAAAGCAAATTTTATTGAGCAAATGAGTAGGGTTACTATCACGACTCCAAAACAAAAATGAGAACACGACAAACATCAATATCCGGCTATGGTTGGGTAGGAAGTTCCGGGGGCAACAGTGTTATAGATGATGTGGTTGAGGCTGAAGTGGGAGAGGGTGAGGAATCGAGGGTCGGTTTTGGGGGGGGGGGGGGGGCGGGGGGGGTGTAGGGTGGTCGACGACTAGAACAAGGTGGTGGAAAAGGTTGGTATGCTGTTGGAATTGGAAGTACCAGATGGGCTGGCCGGTAGTTGGGAACAGGCCAACTAGGTGAGGGTTGGTGACTGAGTTGCAAGGGAGGAAAGGGGCTGCACGGCAACAAGGAGCAGGTCGGCTGGGTGAAGGCAAGCGACTAGGCAAAATGGAAAGAAGAGGGTTGTCCGATGGCTAGGAGTAGTGAAGGAGGAGAGTGGGGAAGGGAATCATAGAGGATAAACACCATCTCAGAGCAGGGTATAGCCGGAGCACTATTTATCCTCGTATACAATCCTAGCAAGGAAAAAAGCCTCCAGGCAATAATTTAAAATAAAATAGAACATAACATAGCTCTAAACTCAACAAACACAAGTATAAATAAAAGATAGATGGGCGAGAAACAAAAAAAAGAGGGGACAAAGTGGGCAAAAATTCCCTCCCCATGCATGCAAGGTCGGTCCAACCTCTAGTTGGATCGTCTTCGTTGGATCAGTCGGCCATCAAGCCCCGTGTTAGTCTATCGAGGTTGGGGGAGCTTCGATCTCATTCATCGAAGTTTTTGGGTCCCCGAAGTACAGTGTTAGGTTTATGGCATTGAACATGGCAGAAACATTGTAGTCTCCTGACAAGTCGATCTTGTAGGCGTTGTTATTAGGCTTTCTGAATGGTCCATCTGCTCTGGACTTGAGTTTTCCAAATGCTCCCATTGGAAATCTCTCCTTCAGCCTAAGTATCCTTCTTGAAACGCCACCTTCTTTCTGGACTTATTCGCCAATGTCCGATATTTATGGTTCTGCTCAATAATCTCCATTCGAACCTCTTCATGGAGTTTTTGAATCTCATGGACCGTGCTTCAACATTCTTATAGATCTTTGATGTCAGCAGGAGTAGTACCAACTCAAGTGACGTGAGCGGGTTGCGCTTGTATAAAATCTCGAATGGAGTGCGTCCTGTAGTGTTATTCACGGATCTGTTGTATGCATACTCGACTTGGGCTAGAATTAGATCCCACAGGTTAATTTTCTTTCCCACAAAACACCTCAGAAGATTTGCTGGGCTTCTATTTACTTCCTCCGTCTGACCCTCAGTCTATGGATAAATTGCTAAACTAAATTGGAGTTTAGCGTCCAACTTCATTCACAAGGTCCTTCTGGTTAGTTAGAAATTCGATGTCTCTGTCGGATGAGATGGTCATGGGAATTCTGTGCAATCTCATGGTCTCTTTGAAATACAAATTGGCGACATGAGACATGTTTAGTGTCCTATGGCTGAGTACTAAATACGCCATATCCGAGAATCGGTCCACCACAACCATCACCTATTCCTCGTTACTCTACGTTCATGGGAGACCCACAATGAAGTCAATGCTAACATCTACCCATGACGCCTTTGGTACATTTAATGGAGTGTACAATGCAACATTATGCCCTTTCATTTTGTTCATATGACAAATCCTGCATTGCTTGGCGTGTCGCTCCGCATATCTCGTCAGTCGGGGTCATATGCAGTGCTCTCTCACTAGTGCGAAAGTCTTGTCGCTGCCAAAATGTCCTTCATGTTCTCCACGATAGCTCTCCTGGATAATGGTCTCCCTGAATAAGTACCTAAGAATGCACAACTTACCCTAGTAGAACAAGCTCTGTAGTACTGCTCAGAAGGCTTCTAACATCGTTCCCCGATCTCCTTGAAGTTTTCATTTGTCTCGTACATGCGCTTTACTATCTCAAATCCCATAACTCCAGTCTACATTGACATGATCAACAGGTGACAACTAATCAGTGCGTCTACTACGCAGTTTTGTTTCTTTGGCTTGTGCTTAAGCAATAACTAGACTGATGCTAAAAACTCCAGTGTAGGCTTCGTGATCCGTGAACAACATGAACTCCCTCGTTAGCATGTAATGACTCCAGTGCTCAAGAGCTTTTAAAATATCATGAGACTCCTTGTCGTTTGTGGAGTACTTCTTCCTGAAATCATTTCACTGAAAAAGGCAATGGGGTGACCTCCCTAGCTTAGAGACGCACTGATCCCTATGACGAATGCATCACACTCTACCTCAAACAACTGGTTGAAATCGGGTAATACCAAGTCTGGCTTCTGGGTCACATTCTTGTTCAGTGTATTGAAACTATTTTGAACTACCTCTGTCCGCTCGAATTTATCTCTCTTGAAAACGTTTGTCAGAGGGGAGGCAATAATGTTGAAACTCTTAATAAATCGCTTGTAAAATGATGCTAGTCCCAGAAACTACCTTAGCTCGGTGAATGATTGTGCTGCAGTCCAACTCGTAAGCGCCTCAATTTTTGTAGGGTTGATCTGAATGCCTGCTTTAGGCACAATATAACCCAAAAAACATATTTTCTCTGTCATGAAGTGACTCTTCTTCAGGTGGGCATATAGTTTCTGAGCTCTTAATATTTCAAACACAACCCTTAGGTGTCTTAAGCGTTCCTCCTCAGATCGGCTGTATACTAGAATGTCGTGAAAGTACATCACCACTAATTTTCCAATGTGGGTCTAAAATACCTAATTCATCAATCTCATAAAAGTGTTTGACGCGTTTGATAAGCCAAAGACATAACCCTTCATTCGTATAAATCATCTTGTGCTTTAAAAGCAGTCTTCCACTCGTCTTTTAGCCTTATTTGGATCTGGTGATACCACTGTGTACGTTGAACTTGGAAATATGATAGCTCCGTGTAACTGGCTCAAGAGATCTTCTA